GCATTACCCGGCCCCACCCTCGCCGCGCTCTATCGACCTGCGCAGGGAACCCGGGCCGTCGCGGCTTGCTCGGCGGGCGACCCGACCGGATCCAACCCCTATTCCCCCAACCCCAACTCTCGGTTGCGCGGTCCGTTTTATCCGATTCGACTCTTGGGCGCCGCATTGCTCTCCCCTACCTACCTCTGTGTAGAATAGATTGTACTGCACACAATTTACTTTTGCTATTTTTATTTATAAAGGAAATACCGAATATAACACAGTTAAGAATTGCATTCAACGCATTTCGTCTTTGATAGTTCAGTACCGCGTAATTAACAATTTACATTACGCTAGTTATTTAGGCAATATTTTGCAATGCAATGTCGGTAATAATTTAACCCAAATGATACGATATCAGAGAAAAATAGTGTCCGGTTGTATATACGTTATTCGCATGCGGCATAATATTTTACTTGGGTTTAGGAAGGTATAGAGGATAAACTTATGATTATTAATATTAAAGCGTTCTGGGTGTCCCGTTATTAATACATCTATTAAGGGCTCAAAAAAAACTTTCTGGCTGCAAAAAACGATTGTCCTGCTCAATTGAATTGAGAACGTTCCTGCATGTTTCGACACCGGTATCTAAAATAAATGATTTGGACGTTTGGAGCTAGATCTTTGCGATTTCCTGATTTGTTATTCAGTAATATTGATTTATAATGATATAAATGCTCTTCTTAAAGTTACAACTTAAAACAAACTATCTTATTTAAGGAACAGTCACTCTAACTGCATATTAATTGTTATAACATCATATTTACTTGAGATACAATTGTTTATTTTACCATTTCGTAAACCGTATTAGTTGCGCCAATATTTTTTATAAACTTTGCCACACAAGTGTTCGTACATTTTTTCATAATTTTTAGGTGAATTACGTGCTAAAAATCAAGTTAAGATTTTTTCGAAACGATACAAGAGATAATAATAATAATGTTTGCATTATTTTTAATACTGTAGGCTTTGAGGATTAATATGACAACAAAAATGTGACTAATTTAATTAATTTGATACTGTGGTGGACATAAATATATGACAAAGTAACACATATTATTGAATTTTGTTTTTTTCTGAACCCTTGATAGATGTACTATTAGAAGTTTAAGGATTAACCATTCATTAAGGGACTATTTATATAGGAAAAAGATCGTAAATCGTGTCATCGAAGATGATTGAGTGTAATTCAGATTGAACGAACCTTCTATAACGGTATAAGACAACAGCTTGTTGAAAACTCCGTACGATCAACGGTATTGCACCACTGGTTCAGACTGGACGACTGTTTAAAATAAACACATTATCGTGAATGGCATTAAATGTTTGGTTCCTAGATCGTTAGTCACCGAGCAAGCAGACGTTGTTACTGGGGAAACGGAAGTGTGTACGTATAATTTTGATGTTTTCGTTCTATTTAACCTAAAACTTTATAATATACTATTTTAAACAATACTTACAGGTGTGAATTTCGAGTTTTTTTAGCATTTGTCATATAAATCAGGGCGAGTAAAGGCCACGTCCCACAATGTTAAAATTTTGTGGTACACTTTACTAAGAAACTATTACTCTTCCAGATTAGGGCTTTGGCACAGTAATTTTATTTCTAGATCCGTTTCTATCGTAAAAAAATCTATAATTTTATAACCAATAAATTGTGCAGAATATATAATATCCTATATGAATAATGTATACATTTTTTAAAAATTATATTTTACAAGTTATGGCAAGGTATGCGATGTGAGCTCTCCTTCTAAAGCACCGCTTTTTGATAGTATATTTGATTCCACCTTTGGATATAAATAAACAACAGCAGCTCAATAATGTGATAAATATTCAGGCGAATACATTTGAAATTGCTACAGCCGAGCATAATACACAAAGTAGTTATTCAGAAAGTAGACTGACGTCACCGAGCCGGTGTCTCCCCCGCCCGTCCTTTTCCCTTGTACCAGTGTTCGCTTTGGTTCGCGCTGTCGCTGTCGCTCCACTGCTAGCGGCTATGCTGTATACACAGCGCAGTCGTGTCGGTTTCACACGGAAACGGGCACGGCGCGGTGCGGCGGGGCGGAGCGGGCGCGGCCATGTTGTAGTAAGCTTGGCAACGTCGCACTAGACATCGACCGATTTAATCATTCTTTGGTGTCGCTGCTAAGTTTCTCGTTATCTGTCCGTCCACGTAATATTTTAACATCGATCGAAGCCTGAATAGATAGTAGAATAGATAGTTGTTTATAAGGTATGATGGATAGGTGCCTAATTTAAGATGATTGTGATGACTTTTAGTTTAATATTATTTAAGAGCTTGGTTTTAAAATTGAATAATTATGTTACAGATGTTGTAGTCAAACATAGCGTGTTCAAAGCGTAGACTTTTCATGTGAACGTCGATAACTAATTTAATAAAATAGAGTTTGTCGAATGACATTCAATATTATGTGTTAAGTTTGCTACCACTTTAACTCCCTTTTTTCTCATGATCACTTATTTTCTTATTTATTGCGAGTAAAATTTGTGATACATTTTTAAACTAAGTATTCACTTAAAACCCGTTAAGCAATTTAATGTAGGTATATAAGTTCTAGATTATTGGAATGGGTATTCAACAGGGGCAGAGGCGGCAACAAAAACATCCGTTGACGAATAGACCGGTTGGACTGGTGCAAATATACTACTACTACCTTAAAAAAATAGACAAGAAGTGTTGTATTTTGTGTTTCTTCTTATGACTAGTCCCCGATATTAGTCCTCTTTTTATCTTTTTCTGCTTTTAATAATAACTATGGGGAAGAATTGTCTTTTTGTCGATGCGTGCATCCATCCCCTCCTCTAGGGACAGAAGCGACCCCTTTATTTATTATTTTAGCGATATCCAGACTGGTGGCAGCTTTCTCGTATGCATCCTCCTACTATAAAATAAAGTTTTCTAACAATCTGTGTCGTAAAACAATACTTATGCCTTGAAAGAATAAACTATGCAAGAGATATAAACGGTAGAGATAATACATAATGTCCGTTGTATAAAGAAAAATACGGGCTGGTAGGTACGTCGAAAGAAACGAGCGAAGCGGCAACAGCGCACGTTGTTCCATAGCGTCGTAAGAGCGACAACGTCGCATTTTTTTTGTTTCGCCGCGTCATGGAAACGCGCGGTGCGATCGGCGCGGCAGACCGGCCACTCGCTCGACTCGTTTTGTGAATACGTTAAGAGTAATTATATAGTTATTTATTTTAAATGTTGTTCTGATAGATATATATACTAATGACGAGCTGTTCTACTGGGAAATTAACTGTGTGCATTAAGAATGCAACAGCTGGCAAAACGTTTTTAATAAAGGTGCGTAATAATTATGAAATTACATCATAAACAATATGTTTACAAAAGATGCACTCGTTCACTTTGCATTTGTACATAATTATAAGGTATGAATACCATTTACGAAATGTATTATGCGATCGTATTAGTGTTTTAGTAATATGCACAAATAGTTATCACCCCCTACTTGGTTCGCGTTGTCCTGTTAAACTGGCTTTGGCATGCTACGCTAAATCCTACATATCGTTCCAATCCAAACCAGACATTTATTTTCACCATTGACAAACCACACACTTTTCGCTAATGTACACAAATTACAAAATATTTGAGGCAAACCACTTTCACGATAGCCCTTCAACAAACTAATATATATAACTGAAAAAGTGAAATATTGCCATGGTCGTAATGTATAGATAATTGACCTTCCTCTATTTATGTACATATATTTCGGCATTGGATCGATACGAAATATATGGATTATCAAACATCTCTGAGGTCGGCCAACATATATACAATCTTATTAATTAATTTTGAAGATTTCAATAAAAAAACAAGTAATCAAATTTTAACACTTTTGTTAAACTTGGTATATATTTGATTTATAAAAGATTTTGGAGAACTTTATATTGTAATTGTCCTGGTGGTACAAAACCTTCTTCCATCAACGTCTCGTCGCGCACTGATGACGTTTATCTTTTTGAAGCGTGTTGCCAAAGAAAAAAGGTGCAATTATAGCTAATTAATTGGTTTGCGAAATATTAACTTTTTTGACGATGGCGGCAAAATGCTTACAGTGCACCCTCTATAGGGTTAAAATTAGCGTCCTAAAACCAGCGAAAGTTATATTAAAATAATATACTTCAGGCGCATTCTTAAATTATAGACTTTGTTAAAACATGGGAGGAAAAAAACGAAATACTATAGTATGAAAAAAAGGGTCTTGTCAGACAGACGGACGGACAACAAAGTGATCCTGTAAGGGTTCCGTTTTTTTCCTATGAGGTACGGAACCCTAAAAACCACTAGAAAGGTAAACTAAAGGCCTTCCTTATCAGTGCTCCTTTCGGGTCGTTGAATTGTATATATTTACTCCTTCATGATTCGTAATTCTTGAAATATATATTTTTGTTCAGTCTTGTATTAAAATTTTATAACAAAACCATAAAATTTGTTGAAATCATATACATAACTATGTAAATTATCCGGAAATGTGTAATTGTTTTCTTCCCAGAGTGTCATGCTAGTCATAAATTGACGATGTATTACTTTTTGTTTTAAACATGAACACAGTTTTTTTAAGCAGATACAATTATGACAGGAAAGGATATAACTATTCCAACAATAACTATATATAACGAGACCAAATTCATCATTTATTTTAAGATCATCGGCTTTATATTTCTTAAAAATATATTAAAAATAATCTATGTTTCGTAACGAATAAACTGAGTTGACTTTTCCTTACCTATACTTTTTTACTCGTTTGTCTAATACATTATTTGATTATAATAAGCCATCATTTATTATCTCTATGTACTTTTTTTTAAACCTTTAACTTATTTCTTCACCTTCCTTATAAATGGTTTTGATCTTTGAGATCTCTTTTAGTTATTTGTATTATAAAACTCAGTTTATTTCTTTACAGCTATGGCCGAGTCCAAAATGTCAAGTTATTGGGTAGAATGGAAAACGCGAACGCAGGTGCAAACGGAACGACTATTTCCGGTTTTTGCGCCACGGTCGCCTTTATGGACATCAAGTCTGCTTCGAAGGCGCATAACGCGGAACACGTACTGGACGAGAGGACGCTCACCACGGAGTATTACGAGCCCGCAGCGATACCATCGGCCGCGGGCGCGCCCTCGGCGGGCTCCTCTCCCGCCGGCTCCGGCTACTCGGGCTCCTCGTCCTCCGTGAACTCGGCACCCGCGCCCGCTGCCATCGCACGCTTCCACTTATCGTAAGTACATACAATTTGTCATACATTAACCTAGATTATCTGCCAGTATCATAACCTCTGAATGCAATCCAGATGAGAACCGATGTTGTTAACATTTATGATGATTTATGCACATTTTAAGCTTAGATTAATAGTTCTGTAATCACCATAAAACGAACACTTTCCAATTTTATTTTTAATAAAAACCACCAATTTTTTAAAGAAATGAAATTTTACGTCTTAATTTTTCTGTAGTTTATATACAATTCGGTAGTAGCAATTCTTTTTTCATGGATTACTTGAATAATAAATAAAGTAATAATTTTATGTTCATTGAAGTAATGTGATTGCAAACTGGCTATTTTAAATATTGTGGTTGTAACAATTGTGGGTTTATAAACCCACTTGAGCTAGAGATATTTTAAATTAAAGGTAATTGAAGTAAGCTTTATTTAACGTGTTAAATGATAATTCAGTTCGTTGCTTTGTCAGATTATTATTGCTAAATATTTTAATTAGTCTGACTAGCCATGAATGTTTTCTGAAATAAAACATGTAACGAGAACACTTGTCACTTTTACCGTGAGTTATTACCTTAATAGATGCTGAAATACGTATTGTTATCCCTGTTTTTAAAGATAATGTTGTGATGGCACTATGTTTTTGTACCCGTATTCCGCAGTCGCAAAGTGAATGTCGTAAAAGTTAACTTATTCCCTCATTATGTTAATGTTGTGATAAACAACAATAACAATTTTTGTAAATGCGGGAATTGGTCACAATTTTTTATCCCGCGAATTTTAAAACCGCGGATTATAGAATCGGGACTAAGGTGACTCTACTGCACTGTCATACCCATTAAAAAATATTATCTGGTGAAAAGCTGGAAACGTATCTGCAAAACTTCTGGTGTTGCGTATATCAATGGGTCTTAGACTGAATGTGGTCATGATGATTGCACGACTGTCTGACAGCACTCACTGAAGTCATTAGAACTGGCGCGCATGCGATGGTCATCTCTTACGGCTATACTGACCTTTCAAGTTTGACCATCATCTGCGTTGATGTAAACTAAACTAACTAAAAGCGATGCATTGCTATTTTATGCTATAAAAATCATAAGTTCGAAAATAAAAAACCACGTTTATGACAATATTAACGAATTATATGAATGTTTTAGCTTATATACATTTACAAATAATACGATTTATTAATTTTGTGTAACTAATTAAACAATTATAATTAATGTTATGTTAAAACTTATTTTGTTTTAATTGTAATAGGCAAGATTGTGTTTTAGTTAAAATTTTTACTTTAAAAAAATTATGTATTGTTATATAAATAACCTAAAACTATGTTTTAAGATATCGTTGTGCATAAAACATCATATGAAAATTTTACTTCTGCAATCAGGTTTAAATTTGTGCATTATCGAGTTTAAGTACATAAAACAGAACAATTAAATAATATCATTAAAGATAGAGAGAATTTATGTCTATAATATATATATGCTAATGATACCTGCAGATATGAACATTGGTTTTTGATACAGCAACTTGCCTTTTGACGGCAATCATCGCTACTACATATTATGTATCTACATTATTTCCCCGAATTGTTTATTTTCCATAAGATCCTCAATTAAGGGATTTAAAACTATACCATAATCGCATCGCTTCATGCTTGCAATGTTGTGGTTAAATAATTTACTATATAGCAACGAGCATGTTCGTCTTAGTTGTTGCACCAACATTTAGGGTGCCGCCGCCGCCGAGACAGTGATCTCGCGACTGACTGACCTACCTGCCTGCGTTCAAAGGATTGCAGTGTAATTTGGATTGCAGTGGGATAAGCACCCGAGAACAGTGTTAAAGTGCAGTGATGAATTGTGCAAGTGAACGATGAATTGTGGTGTCTATAGTGTCATGAGTTCGTAACAAACTGAGCATACGATCCATAATAGGTATGTACGAGTTATACGGATTGTTAAAATCACTGTGGCTGGCGGCGGTCCCAACTACGTTTATATGCACCTATTTCTAACGCTATGTAATATGTCTTGTCAGTGTGTAAGCTGTCCTTTTAAATGTCATAACTCGTAACAAATTTATTAACATACGTGTTAACAATTTTATTGAAAATATTTATGAATCGAGGTATATTTATTAAAAATTTTAATAGTTATAATTTTCCAGTATATCATTATACTGCAGAAATACCACATTATTAGCGTCATTAAAAAGAGTAAAAACCTTGTCAAGTACCACTACTTCATTGCGAAAAATGAGTATTGTTGAGTTTACGAAAATAGTGTTATGAGCGTGCGTTCAGGATAGAGTTCAAACACTTCGATAGTTCTATTTTGATTTATTTGCCACTACAGTTGCAAAGATTAACGTATTTATTAAATTTAAGATTAGCGCTATCAAAGTTGTCCTTCAGCACCACGTGTAACAAAGACGTTGTCACTGTCAATACACATTTTACACTACACCATTGTTACTTTACTAAAGCACTTGCTCTTTCACTTTTCATCCACTTCTTCTAATTTCCTTTCTACTTGTTATTTCTTCATTGTTTACTTTAAGACTCTCCTGGAGTTGGGTCTGACTCTTCTTATATAAACCAATGAGATGTTCTTTTCGTAATTCTTCCATTTTTCTTTGCGTCACCTTATTTGCGACGTTCTTATGTCTGATAAAATTTCCAGGGCACAGAATATTCTATTGACAACACATTCTAGAAGCCCATCTTCGCATTTATGATACCAAATGAATGTATGAAATTACTAAAAACCTTGGTCTCGGTATTGGTATCGGCAACCTATTGCACACTGGTCGAGTGTATATGCCACTCGGCTAGCCTTGCTCTACGAATGATTTCGATAAGTCATATATTAAGCCTTAATTAGTCTGAACCGTTAGTCTGGAAGACTATATTCAGCAAATATCCATCCATCCACTCATCCATACATTCATAAATTACCTATCTATATAATACCAGTAACATAATAAGATTTTATCCAGAGATATTAAAGAACATTACACACTACATTACAACTACAGAGGTCAAGACAATTTCTTGGAGCGGTGTCTTATACAAAACTTCCTTTTCACCCATCAATTTAAACCTTTACAGGACGAAAAACATGTGACAAAACGTATCCAGAAATTTAGCATATTGAAATTGGTACCATTAGGAAGGTCATCTAAATCTAGTAGATTTGTTGAACGGGGGAAATTTTGTAGCTCGTGGGAGAAAAATATATTCTACGTTGAAAATGCCAAAAATTTTTGATTCACCCGGACGCACGACAGCATTTTTGAGACTATTTATTTGGTTTTTCGAACTATTAGATTTGCGTAGACTTGTGTACGAAGGGGCTTAGGATTTTCCCATAGAACGCTACTTATATCTGCGATTTTAGTCTCTAAGTCACGTAAGAAATAAAAAAAACGCTGACATATGATATAGCATTGCGTATGGTCACACTATCAGCATAATATGGTATTTCGTTGTGGTCAGCGAAATAACTTCGTTAGGTCCAGCGATTGCTTGGGATGATATAATACTGGTCTGTAAAAAACATTTTTTTCTCCTTCAAATGTTATGCAATTATGACAGATGCAATAATACTGATTATCATTGTAGCTATTACGTTATCTATCACGTAAACATTTTTTTGGGATGGAATTTTTTTTAATGATATTTTAATCATTAACATAATAACTTAATGTTCCGATATACACTATTTCAAACTTAAAATGTCATATGACAATATCATTACTAGTTGTAAATAACGTTTTACTCAGTAGTTTTTTTCCTTTTCATATTTTATAATGGCATTTCCCGAAAATCGACCAACAAAAAACCAATTCTCGTTATACCGCCTCTCTATGTGCAAAATGTCTTGATGAAACTCATACAACAAACCTCCCTTAGATTTTTCCAAGCAAATCTCGGATGACTATTTGCTTGAAAAATCTAAGTGAGGGTCGAAAAAACGAATTTTAAGAGACATCAACAAATGTTACATTTAAGAACCTTATAGGTTATAAAAATCTTGTATGATTTCCAGATAGTTCTAATTTTTTTATTTTCAAGAAAACTTTGGCACTCTTCTACAAAAGCCGTCTTATGCCCTATTTTCAAATCGATCAACCTTATTTTAAAACTTGCGTCCTTCATAAGTTCGCGTTTTTGAAGACCTAAAAAATTTCCTTGTTTTAATTTCGCGTCGCTGATCCGGAGAAACTTTGTTTTTAGGTATTGAAATCCTTCCTCATCTTTGTTCATGGCTTTCCAAATGGCGTCTTTAAAAAAACGAACTTGCAGGCATAGTTAGTGATAATATAATTTTACGGTTTCTCAAGCGCGCACACATTGAAAATTGAATTGAATGCCAAACATAGACTAAGAATATAACTAGTTATCCGCGTATACTCGTAAGGAACAGAGATGTATTGCGTCATTGATAAGTTGGTTTCCTCATAAAAATAATGTTACCAGAGCATGTTTAATAAACATAGTTATTCTAACAAATCATTCATCCAGAAAAAGTAATTAACTTCAACAGTTTTTTTTATAGTTGGACTAACGTAAGATTACGTTCTGGTTACCCTTTGTTATGGTTGAACTAAAAAAAATTGATAGTTCCTAAAAAAGTTAATATAACAATTAAAAAATCTATAGTTTTTAACTACTGTACTCATCTGAGAATTCATCCTCTAAAGGTCCAAAATGTGGGTCCAAAGTTTGTATGGAACAACGTTAGTCCTTGGACAAAATTTCATGAAATTTAAGATAAACGCTTCTCAACACAAATAATTAACATAGTCTTTCAGGCTTTTAACAAAATTGGAGTTTTAAGGTCTAGAAAAAGGGATAAAGTTTGTATGTAATAATATTTTTAAAGCATAGATTCGAGGCGTAAAGACTTGATATTTAACATGTGGGTTTCTATTACTACATAGTTGAGCGCAATGAAAGATTTTTGCGAAATTAATCTTACAAAGGTCTAT